ATAAATTTGTTAGTCTCTAAGGTGCCACAAGTACTCCTGTTCTTTTTCCAAAGTTGGAACAGTAATTCAGAGTTGTCTTCCCATCAGAAGTCATGTTGGACTATATCCAGTAGCTGCTCTTGGCATTGATCTGTAACTCAGAGGAACAAGGATTGGCTCTTCCTGCTGTAGGATTTTCTTGGCTGTCTGTACATCTCTCTCAGCCTCTCCATTCGCTTGTGGGTAATGTGCGCAGCTGCTAATATGATCAAAATCATATTTCATTTGGAATGACATAAATTCTGCTGCTGTGAATTGTGGTCCATTGTCCATCACTAGTTGTTCTGGAAACCCAAAGTGAGCAAAAGTGCACTTCAGTTTCTCGATGACATTGTTATGTCTTTCAAGTACATTATTTCTATATTCCTGGAAAAATAGTCCACCATGACCAGATAGTGATGTCCTCTGAATGTGCATAAGTCTGCAGCTAGTCTCTTTTCTGACATTGGTCTATATGTACCTTGACGTCATTTTCGAGTTCAGGGGAGTTGAGAACAATGCTGGGCTTCTGACAGAGTGTCTGCTACTACCAGATTTTTTCCTGGAATGTATTTAACAATTTAGGTTAAATTGCATTAACCTTAGCAATATAGGTTGACAGAGGTGCCAACTTTCTAATGTGCTGGGGGGTGCTTGACCCCCCTCCCCCTGGCTCTGCCCCAGGCCCCGCCTCCACTCCACCCCTTCCCCCAAGCCCCACCCTGCCTCTTCCCACCCCATTCCACCCACTCCCCCAAGCACACCTAGCACTCGCTCCTCGCCCATCCCTCCCAGCACCTCCTGCATGCTACAGAACAGCTATTCCATGGTAGGCAGGAAGGGCTGGGAGGGAGGGGGAAGTGATGATTGGTGGGGCCGCCGATGGGCGGGAGGCACTGAAGGGAAGGGGGGGAGATGGCTGCCAGTGGGTGCTAAGCACCTACCATTTTTTCCCCATGGGTGCTCCACCTCTGGAGCACCCACAGAGTGGGCGCCTATGCAGGTTGGCATCTCATTGGTGCTTGATCCACATCTTTTCCATTTATAAGGGTTACAGGTGGTTTATGTTATCCGTGTAAATGAATCCAGTCCACACAGCTATCTATAACAATTCTCACATGGCCATATGCTTGCCAGGCACTCCTTGTTCATACAGTTTTTCTGCTTCCATAGGTGTGCGAGAGCAAAACGCACGAGTTTCCACTCAGAGCCCTGTTGTTACAACAACACACCGCTAGGCCACAGGTGCTGGCATGTGCACTGGCCAGGGTGGGTTTGTTCACATCGTAGTTCTTGAGAACTAGAGCTGTTGAGATTATTTCTTTTCCCTTTCTGAAGGCAATTTCTTGGTTTGGCCCCATAGCCAAGATGTCTTGGACTTGAACAGTTCGTTCAATGATTTTGTCACCGAAGAAAGCTCTTATAGATATTGGCCAACATACTGTACCATCCCCAATATACGTCTCAGTTTTGGTACATTGATTGGTACATTCAATTCTAGAATTGCTTTTACTTTCTCAGGGCTAGGACTGATTCCATCTTTCTTTGTTTGTTTCAAAAACTCCTTTGGGTTAGGTGGAAGATGCATTTTTCCTTCTTAGCTTCAGTCCAGACTGCCTGATAAGGCGTAGGACTTCACTGAGGGTTTTGGTGTCTTCCATGGAAGTTCCACTTATCAGAGTCTTATGGATTCTCTCGTTGCTTTGATAGGTGAGTGTTCAGTTAGTGGTGACCTACGTTCTGGGTTTATTTGTTTTTATGACATCTTACATGAAAAGTGAGTCCAATCCTGGATTTGCAAATGCATTCTCATGTCTTGAAAGTGTAGTTGTTGTTGAGGGGAAGTTTTGAGGTGTTGGCCTAACGACGTGTTCTCTTCCCCTGCAAAGACCTCACACACCACTCCTCAAATGTGGACACGGCCTCATGGCACAGACCTCTCCCTCTGGGTCTGTCCACTGCAACCAGTTTCCAGGTTTTAATGTCTATCTTGCATGCTTTGAGGTTGGCCTTCAAGGTGTCTTTGTATATGAGGATGGGTTGAGCCTTACAGCAGGTTCCTGTCTCAGCTGGCTGGAGAGCACTGCTTTCGGTATATGGGAAACCTCCATGCACACCTCGTGTCCACCCAGCAAAGCTGAGTCCTGATTAGCATTCTTTTGATGGCAGGGATTTGGCACCTCTCAGTGACCTGTGTGCTGAGATCCTGTCCTGCCACTTGATGTTGCAGATGGATCTTAGGCAGCGTAGTGTAAGCTCTTCAGCTGTTGTTTGTAGCGTCGGTAGAATGTCCGTGTGTTGCCCCATGGAAGAGTGAGGTGAGTACAACAGCGTGGTAGGTTTTTTATCTTGGTTCTGAGGCAGACTCCATGCTCCCTTTGGAGTTCATGGGTGAGCCTGCCAAATGCCAAGCTGGCCTTTGCCAGGTGCTGAGTGATCTCATCATCCAACGTGACGTTGCTGGAAAGCATGCTACCCAGGCCTCAGAATTGCCGGATTGAGCTGAGGGGTGTATTGTCAGTTGTGACGATGGGATCAAGGTGCGGGTGCTCTGGGGCTGGCTGGTACATGACCTCTGTCTTTGTCAGGCTGATTGTGAAACCAAAGCATTTTGAGGCATAGGCAGAGTGGTCCACACTAAGCTGAATGTCCTCGAGTGCGTGTGCAGTGAGAGCCCAGTTGTCAGCACACAGGAGATCTCTTAGTAGCTGTTCAATGACCTTGGTGCAGGCCCTGAGTCGCTGTAGATTGACTAGACTCCCATCCAATATAAACCAGATGTCTAAGCCTCTGTCAAAGTCCTGGAATGTGATCAAGAGCATGGCTGAAAAGACAGTGGCAAGGAGGGCTGGAGCCATTACACATCCTTGTTTGGTGCCGTTGGTCAGTGATTCTCAATCAGGGGTACGCAGAGGTCTTCCAGGGGGACATCAACTCATCTAGATATTTGCCTAGCTTTACGACAGGCTACATAAAAAGCACTAGTGAAGTCAGGACAAACTATAATTCCATACAATGACTTGTTTATACTGCTCTATATACTATACACTGAACTATAAGTACAATATTTATATTCCAGTTGATTTATTTTATAATTACATGGTAGAAATGAGAAAGGAAGCTATTCGTCAGTAACAGTGTGCTGTGACACTTGTATTTTTATGTCTGGTTTTGTAAGCAAGTAGTTTTTAGGTGAGGTGAAACATGGCATGAGGTGAAACAAGACAAAACTGACTCTGACAGGGGGGCAGTCGTCTGGACAGGTTGAGAGCCACTGCCGTTGGTGACAGGGAAGGTTTCTGATGAGTCATAGAAGATCAGGGTTGGAAGGGACCTCAGGAGGTTCTAGTCCAATCCCCAGACAGATTTTTACCCCAGTTCCCTAATTGGTCCCCTCAAGGATTGAACTCACAACCCTGGGTTTAGCAGGCCAATGCTCAAACCACTGAGCTATCCCTGCCCCCTCCATAACCCTGCCCATTATGCCATCATGAAGTGAGTGGATGACCGCAATCATCTTCTCTGGGCAGCCAAAATTATTAAGGCGTTTCCACAGGGCCTCGCAATTCACCGTGCCAAAGGCCTTGGTCAGGCCAACAAACAGCACATACAGATCCTTGTTCTGTTCACCAGCCTTCTCTGCCACACTCATGTCCATGGTGCCATGGCCAGGACGAAAGCCACACTGTGACTCTGGATACACTGAGTCCACTAAGTGAGAGATGAGCCTGCTGAGGGCTGCAAGGATCTTCCCCGCTATAGACAGTCGTGTGATTCCATGATGGTTCTCACAGCAAGGTATGCTTCCCTTCCTCTTGTATAGCTGGACTATGAAGGCATCCTTGTATTCCTGGGGCACGGTGTCCTGTTCCCATATAGTCTTGAAAAAGCTGGTGAGTTTTCTGACCAGGTGAACACTTCCACATTTGTACACAGTAAGTGGAATGCAACCAGGGGCAGAGACTTGGCCCTGGACAGCTGCTTGATGGCCTTAGTAACCTTGTCTAAAGCAGGGCCCACGGACAGCCCCTCCAGGAGAGGACACTGCGGGAGTGAGTCGATGGCTCCATTGGACATAGTGGACTGATGGATCAGGAGACTAGCAGAGTGTCTGCCCAGCTTTTGTCTGTGAGGAGCCAGTTACCATCTGCTGTGAGGACAGGATATCAGAATATCGTCCATGGAAACTACAACTCCATTTGTGTTAGTTAGCAATTCTGCCATTGGTTTTTGGAAAATTTCAGGTGCACTGGCAATTCCAAAAGGTGATCTTTGAAAGCAAAATCTCCCAAAGGGTCTGATAAATGTAGTCAGTTGAGCACTTTCTTTGGCTAACGGAATTTGCCAGAATCCACTCGAGGCATCCAGCTTGGAGAACACTGCAGCTCCTTTCACTTTGGGGAGGAAGTCAGCCAGTGGCAGGAGGGTAGACCCCGGCCCGTACGCACCCCACATTAAAGCGCTGCCTCCTCCGTCGGCAGCCCTGCTGGTAGGATCCGTACTGGCAGGGCCACCAACGGGGAGGCATGGGGGGACCGCAGCAACGTTAAAGCGCTGCCGCGGCAAAGGACCCTGCAGTGCTTTAACGTCCCTGCCCCTTTTGCCCCCCCTCGGCCACCGACGGGCGGGGGGAGGGGGGCCAAGGGAGCAGCTGCCCCAGGGCCGGCGATTTAAAAGGGCCTGGGCTGCGGACGCTGCTTTAAATTAAGGCTTTGGAGCTGTACTCCAGCTCTGCTCCAGCTCCAGGCAAAAACCTGCAGCTCCACTGCTCCGGAGCTGCTCCGTGCTCCAGCTCCGGGCTCCGCTCCAAAGCCCTGCTTTAAATCACCACTGGAGCCCCGGGTGGTGCGGGCTGGTGCGGGCCAGGCAGTCCCGGCCCCGTACCGGTAAGTGTCCGAAGTTACTTTCACCCCTCACTGTATGGTTCAGCATTGCCTCTTAAGGTCATTTGCACTGGATCTTCTTTCAGAAGTCCAATATCACCAAATATTCCATCAAGTTTGTCCACCTTTTTCACTAGGCTCATCATGGCTGTCCCGCAGTGGCTGGGAAGGCTGTTGGTCTGTGTCCTTGGATCACATACACTCTGAACACAAAGCTCTTGTCTTTGTAAGTTGTTCTGTGGTGAGCTGGCCCATGCTGCTCAGAATCCCTCCAGGGCTAGTCAGAGCTATGACAGGTAAATTCAGCTCTGGGAGGGGTTGAAGGCAATTGCTGATGAGATGATGTCAGCTCTGAGTCAATTTTAAAGTCAATAGTCTCACCAACGGAATAGTCCGTTTCACTCTCCAGGCACATTTTGTGTCATTACAAGTGATAGATCCCAGAACAACGGCTCGTCTTGATTGACTGTAATATGAGTCAACTCCCTGACTGCTTTGGTGCAGCAAACAGCCACAAAATGTCCATGTTTCATGGACCTATTACACGATGTGCCTCTGGCTGGACATGAATCATCTCTTGGGACACGACTTTTTCCACACCTTGGGCACTAGGCTGGAATTTGTCCCTCTTAGCCTGGGAGGTCTCGCTCCTGGCCTCAGGGGTTTATGATAACACCCAAGTGTCTGTTTGCAGCTTCTAAGCTAGTTTCAAGTTTTTCAAGTTGCTCCTTCCATTTGGCCTGTTTGGCTAATTCTGACTGCTTCGCTCTCTGTATAGCTGTGGCTGGGGTTAAATCTCTTCAGCTGGAGCTGCTGTGAAAGGCTTTTATTTGTTAACTCAATAACCAGCCTGACTCTGATGTTTTCCTGTTTTGCATTCCCCAAATCTCAGGTTTCAGCCAATGTATTCAGAGCTCTTATAAAACAGTCAACATTTTCCCCTGGTTTTTGAATTCTCTGGTGAAAACATGCTCTTTCATAAACTACATTTCTCTGAGGTATAAAATATGCATCAACCATAGCCAAAACCTGTTCATAGTCATCCTTTGTGACTGTGTCTTCAGTAAAGTCAATAGATTTAAAGATATTCTCTGCCTGTTTCCCCATAGCATAAATTAGAGATGATACCTGAATATCTCCAGTTCCTTCATGGAGGTTTTTTTTTTTTTTGCAGTTCAAAATCTTGCAAATTACTGCTTCCAGTCTGCGTATTGGGAAGGTTTGTCAAAGCTGTAGTTCTCTGGGGTCTCCTCCCTGCCACCCCTTCTCCCTGACTGGAGGTTTGGGCAGCAGCAGCCATGACTGGTGCAGGTTGCTGTGGACAACAGCTTCCACCAGCCCCTTAAGCCTGGTGCCCCCTGGACGGAGCATGGCCAGGGTCTCAGCTGGCAGTGAAATCACTGCCCGAGCCCCAGTGCCAACAACCCCGCCTGAGATTTGTGGCCTGCCAGTCCCCTGCTCTCAGCTGGCCCAGCCCCCAGCAGCCCTGGGATTATCCCCCCAGACAGACTTCATCCTGGGAGCCATGGTGACCTTGGGGGGCTGTTACCCCTCTGCAGGGGTGTGCCTTGCAAGCTGACATGCTGCCATGTGGCTGGGGGCGGTGTTGCAGGGTATTGCCGCTCCATAGCCCCTGCAACCGGCTGTCCCATCCGCCCATGGCCTCCAGCCAGGCCACGGTTACGCTCAGCCCTTTTGGATGAACCAGAGCTTAATTCAGCAGTGCCATGACATTGCCCCAGGTCCAGCCCCTTAGTCCTTCTGGCCCCTGTGTCTGGGGCCTCCACGCAACCTCCTTGGTGAGCCTGTAGGGACCCAGTCCCTGGATCCAGCCCAGGGACCCTGCAGCAAGTGGGTTTTCTGCCTCATCAACCCACTTCCTTCTTCCCTCAGCTACTTCCTGCACCAGCCCAGCTTGGGTGCCGGGGCCCGTGCTGGGGCCAGGCTCGTGGTCCCAGCCGCAGCCACAGCCAGGGGTGCTGGAACAGTTTTTATAGTGGGGGTGCTGAGAGACTTTGAACCAAACTGTAAACGATGGAAACCACTTCAAGCCAGGGGGTGCGGCAGCCCCCCCAGTCCCTCCTAGTTCCAGCACCTATGGCCACAGCAAACCATGAAAAGCAAGCTAATGGCAATAGAGCCCAGCACCATGCCTCCTGTCCCACCAGGGACCCAGCCATCGTACTGCACCCACTGTGCGCAGGAGCCTGACAGCAGCTAGGCTCCCCGCTGGGAGCTGAGGGGTAGAGGCCTGATGCTCTCCCAGGGCTGGGGTCCTCTGAGCTGGGCTTCTCCCTGGTAAAGCCGCTCCTCCAAACCTGGCATCAGTAATAGGTGCGCGGGACGGGGCTGCCTGAGTCCACGGCTGCTCTTTAACCCTTCCTGCCTGCTGTGGGGTTTGTGGATCCTGGCCCTCGGGGTCAGAGGAGCAACCCTGGAAGGTGGCGTCTGTGTGTCCCCAGAGCAGGCTGCAGCTGTGCGAGCTGGTGCGCGTTGTTAGAGCAGCTGGGCGCTAGGCGGGGACGAGCCTGCTCCCACCCCAGAGCTGTTTGCATTCTTTGCCGTCTGCCAAGGCAGGGACAGAGGCTGTGGGATTCAGGGGCTGCACGTCCTGCCGGGGCTCGGATAGCAACTCTCTTTCTCTCTCCCCCCACCCCAGTTAACCTGGTGGATTTTTGTGGGCAGACCATCAGAGACGACGGGCTGATTATCAATTCGCACAGGGACTCCCGGCGCTACTACTTCGTGGCCACGGGGACGGACTGCTCCCTCACCATGCAGGCCGCGTCGCCCAAAGACAAAGTCCAGTTCCAGTTCCGCTTCTTCTTGGTGTACAGCCTGCTGCGCCTGGCCCCCAGCGGCGGGCCCCCGTCCAACGCCACCCGAGCGCCTCTGCCCCCAGAGACCGCCCGGCCCAGCCAAAGGGGGCCTGGGCAGCCCTCATCCGGCGGAGACTGGGAGCTTCAGGACCCCTGTAATGCTGGATCGTATGTGCAATTCTATGATGGCAGAGGTCGCGCCGCCGAGCCTCTGGGGTTCCCGCTGTGTGGGAAGAGCATCCCCAGGCCCATCCTGTCCACCGGGAACTACTTGACCCTGCGCTTGGTGACACGGGGGCAGCAGCCCCGGGTGGATTTCGTGGGCGATTTTACATCCTTCCGTCTGGGTGAGGGGCAACGCGTGCAGGGGGCACAAGCCAAAGGACCTTGCCAGACTGCCCAGCTCCAACCACAGTGTCCAGCCCAAAGATCAGCTGCCCAGCCCCCCACCACACCTGCATGGGGGCCCTTGCCAGCTGTGCCCTGGGGCCTGGTCACTGGCCATCACAGGGACAGGGCACATGTGGCAAAAGGCTGCAGTGGCGGAAATAAACTGAGTATTTTTGCTACCTGCTGAATCTCCGCCAGGCTCCACAGGAGCCTTGTCCTGGGTGGCTGGATCAGGTGCAGGTGGGGGGCAGAGGCAGGGCTGGCACATGAATGCCCAGGGGGTGCAGATTCAAAAGGCCACATGACAGGCGGGTGGGGGGGGGGTGGATCAGGAGTGACATGGACTTGGCAGCAAGCGCGTGTGATAGCACATCACCCTGAACACTCATCAGAGCACAGGGAAAATGCACCTATTTGCCAGGGACTCCACAGTCACCTGGAACACAGACTGACGTGTGCCTATGCCCCACACGCACAGCTGCACATATATTCCTGGACATACACCGTCTCACACAGGCTGCACACATACCTATACACACACACATACGCACGCATACCACATCTCACACAAGGCTGCACATATGCCTACACACACACACACACACACACACACAAGGCTGCACATGAACAGCTGCACACACACACACCTGCACACACACACACCATCTCACACAAGGTTGCACGTCCTCTCACATGCAACCTCAAGCTCTCTCTCACCCCCCCGCTGCAGAGCCGAGCCCACTGTGGCCAGTGTAGTTCAGGTCTTCAGGTCGTGCCGACTGTCTCGGCTCTGAGACACAGGGTTCCTGGCCCTGTAAAGAGCCCTTTAGCCAGGGTGCACTCATGGCCCTGCTGAGATCAGTGGCGACCCGTCCCTGACCCCAGTGAGCTGAGCGTTGGTGGCGTGAATGCCTGGCTCCGCTCTCAGTGGTCACCGCCAGGCCCCAGAGCCAGTGGGTCCCAAGAGAAACCACAGGCTATTCTCCCTGGTCAGACACCCCCGCTGCTCTGATGCCTTCCCCCCCCACGACTGGAGAGGCCATCTCCTCTCCAGAGCAGTGGGTGCTGCCATGTCCTTTAGCCTCTTGGCATGGCTGGCCCTGCAGGCCTGGCCCTGCTGGCTCACCTGTGGCTAGTGGGGCGTTAACGTCCTGCTTGCAGGGCCCAGCTTGCAGAGATCCTGGGTCTGAAACTCTGTGGCATGGCTAAGGTTGCCAGGTGTCCAGTTTTCGACCGGAACGCCCTGTTGAAAAGGGACCCTGGCGGCTCCAGTCAGCACCACTGACCAGGCTGCTAAAAGTCCAGTCGGTGCAGCGGGGCTAAGGCAGGCTCCAGGCCTGACCTGACTCCGCGTGGCTCTCGAAAGCTGCTGGCATGTCCGGCTCCTAGGCACTGGGGCGGCCAGGGGGCTGTGTGTGCTGCCCCTGCCCCGAGTGCCAGCTCTGCAGCTCCCATTGGCCAGGAACCGCGGCCAGTGGGAGCTGCAGGGGAGGTGCCTGCAGGCGCAGGCACTACACGGAGCCCCCTGGCTCCTCTACCTAGGAGCCGGACATGCCGACTTCTTCTGAGAGCCGCCTGAGGTAAGTGCCGCCCAGCTGCCCCACCCCCAAACCTCCTCCCGTGCCTCACCCTCCTGCCCCAGCTCAGAATCTCTCCTGCACCCAAACTCCCTCCTGGAGTCCGCAGCCCAAGCTCTTGCCCCAGCCCTGAGCCATCTCCTGTACCCTAAACTCCGCATCCCCCGGAGCCTGGACGCTTGATCACATTCCCCTCTCGGCCACTGAGTCACGTACCCATGCCAGTGCGTGAAAGTAGCTGCCCCCAGGGGTGTGCGATGCACCAGGAGCTGCTATGCTGTCAGCGCTGGCCATGTCCATTTCAGGTTTCAACATGTCCGAGTGCAGCGAGGAGCCGTACTTCCAGTGCCGGAACAGCAAGTGCATCCCCATGAGCCTGGTGTGTGACCGGACGGGCATCGATAACTGCGGGGATGGCTCGGACCAGGCAGCCCACCCCCCTGCCAAGTGCAGAGGTCAGTGTGGGTGGGGAGAACCCAGGGCAGGGCAGGCAGGGGTGGGGTAGAGGGAGCGCCCCAGAGAGCAGATAATGGATAAGAAGGCTGGAAAATATGGGCCTGATCCTGCCTGGTGCACTCGGGAGCGCAGGGGAGCGTTCTGGATGGGAGGACGGGGGAGCTCAGGGCTGCTCCACTCCAAGGGTTTTCCTGGCCTGGGGGCTCTTTGCTGGGCTGACGCCCGCACCGGCAGCTGGTGCAATTACACCCCCTTCCCCTCCTCCATGCAGGCCGCCCTCCCACATCAGCGTTTCTCCAGCCTGAGAGCAGCCCTGCAGCCCACATCACCCCCTGCATGGCAGCCTGTGGCGGGGCAGAGAAGAGCCAGCCCTTGGCCCCAGACACCGTGCCCCAGGACGAGCCTGCAGCAGGTACCTAAGTCCAAGTGCAAAGTCCCGGGCCTGGCCTAGAAATGTGCTCAGCGCCTGGCATTGTTAATGGCTGGGGGCAGGGCTGGGCTGTTCCCCATGGTACAGACGGGGACTGGGGCATGGCCAGGGTCTGGGACCCGCCCATGCACAGGCGCTGACATCTTTTTGCCGGTGGGTGCTCTGCTCTGCCTCCTCCCCCCCCCCCCCCCCCATGTGATCAGGGGAAGAGGCTGAGCGGGGGGCAGGACCTTGGGGTGCGGGGGGAGCCCAAGCGGGGGCAGGGCAGAGCGTGTGCAGAGCAGGGGCGGGAGCACGGTTCAAGCACCGTAGCCCACAAAAGGTCCTGCGGGTGCTGAGAACCCCCTATTTATTTTTGGTGGGTGCTTGAGCCCCAGAACACTCACGGAGTTGGCACCTATGCACCCAAGGTCACACGGGGGTAGGGTGACCAGATGTCCCTATTTTATAGGGGCTTTTTCTTATATAGGCACCTATTACCCCCCACCCCCATCCCGATTTTTTACACTTGCTGTCTGGTCACCCTATACAGGGAGGGACTTGAACCAGGTCCCAGCTCAGTACCCTAACCACTGGACCAGCCTTCCCTGCGACATGACCTGGGGGGAGCCCAAACCTTCTGATCTGCCCAGCACTTTGCAAAAGGATTGCCAGATGTGTGGGTACGTGCGTGTGTAATGAGAGCTATGTGTGTGTAATGACAGGTGGCTGTGCCTGTGTGCAATGAGACACGTGTGAACGTGTTATGACACGTGCACCTGTGTAATGATGGATGTATGTGTCCGTGTGCAATGACAGATGTGTGTGAAGGTGCAATGACACACATGTGCAATGACAAACGTGTGCATGTGCAATGAGACTGTGTCATGACAGGTGTGTGTGTGTGTGTGCAATGAGATGCCTATAATGACAGATGTGTGTGCTCGTGTGTGATGATGTGTGCATGTGTATAATGACAGGCAGGTGGGTGTGTATGTGTGCAATGATTCATGTGCGTGCATCTATAATGACAGGTGTGTGTATGTGTGATTATGTGTGCGCATGTAATGACAGGTATTTGTGAAGGTGTGTGTGTGTGTGTGTGTGTGCAATGACAAGTGGGTGCACGTGTGTGGTGACATGTGCGTGCACTTGTGCAATGACAGGTGTGTACATGTGCAATGTGTCTGTACAATAACAGGCATGTATGTACATGTGCAATAACAATGTGAGCGCATGTGCAATGACATCAGCGTGTACTTGTGTGATGACACGTGTGCTCATAGGCAATGACAGATGGGTGTGTGTGCAATAGCAAATATGTGGTTGTGTGTGTGCATGTCCAATGATAGTTGGATGTATGTGATGACACGTACGTGGGCGCTTGCACAGACAGGTGGGTGCATGTGCATGTGTGTATAATGACAGGTGTATGCACATGTGTAATGACAGACTTGTGTGTGTGTGTGTGTGTCTATATGCAATGACATGTATGTAATGACAGATATGTGCAATGACATGCATGTGTGTGCAATGACAGGTGTGTGTGTGTGTGTGTACATGTGTAACGACAAACATCTGACATGTGTAATGACAGGTGTGTGTAATGACAGACATGTGTATGTGCATGTGTGCGATGACACATGTGCATGGGTGTATAATGGCAGGTAGTTGCATGTTTACATGTGCGCATATGCAATAACAGCTGTGTGTGTACGTGTGCAATGATACCTGTGCAATGACGTGTGTGTGTGTGTGTGTGTGTGTGTGTGTGTGTGTGTAATGACAGGTGTGTGCCATGACAGATGTGCATGCAGGAATGTGCAACAACAGGTGGGTGCAGGTGTATGCAATAGCGGAGGTGCATGTGTACTTGTGCTATGAGATATGTGCCGGCATGTGCAATGAGAGGTGGCTGCATTTGTAATAACAGGTTGGTGCGTGTGGGTGCAATGACACATGTACGCATGTGCTATGACAGGTTGCTGTGTGTGTGATGACAGGCATGCGTATGTGTGCTCTAGGAGCAGCTCCTTGGCAGGGGAGTGGGAGATCAGTTGGTGTCTCTCACTGACCCCCGCCAAGGCGCTGGGCCCTGCAACGGGAACCTGCACCATTCCGCTCCCAACACCCCCCGTACAGTGACCCTCCATGGGCCAGCGCCTGGGAGCCTGATGCAGCGTTGCCGGCTGTCCCCTGGGGCCTGCGTCCACCCTGTCCCTGGTGTCTCGTGCCCCCATGCACAGTGCAGCTGGCTTAGCACCACATTGCCGAAGGAGCAGGGTGGCAGCAACTCAGGCCTTGTGGCCCCATGGCCGTGGCACTGAGGGCTTGGCCACCCTGTGGCAGGGCAGGCTTGCCAGAGTGGTCTGCTTTTGGCTCCAGCCCATAGAGGGCAGAGCGGAGCTGGGAAGCAGAAGGGAGGCACCTGGCACTCACTGTCCCCAGCCCTTTTCCTTCCTCTCCAGGTGAGAGGAGCTTGTGCTCCCTGCTGGCCCTCTACATCCTCCTGGGCCTGGGCGTGGGCTCAGCCCTCCTGCTCTGGTGCTGCTGGTCCCCTGGCTGGTTTGTCTGGAGACTCGGGGCCTGCCGGTTCCTGCCTGGCTGCAACTCCATGTGGGCCTCGTGCCAGCTCTGCCCCCACAGCTGTGCCCCCAGGAACCATGGCTGTTCCAGCAAAGTCACGCCGCAGCACAGCGCTGACCTGCCCATCTGATGTCAGCCGCGCCATCCTCGCCCTGGCCGGAGGAGCAGGGATCCGACCTTTCCTGTCTGTGCTGCAGAGATTCTCTCCGCTGGCTTGGGTCATAGCAGGACGGGCTGCGGCTACCAGCTGGGTGGGGGGCGGGGAGAGGACGGGGCAGCTCCCAATACCTCCTCTGCTCACTCCCATAGACAGGCCAGGCCCCATGCGCTCCTCCCATGGATGGGCTCAGCTGCTTGCCCCCCAGCGGCGGCAGCCTCCGAAACACAAGGGCCCAGAGGGCTGCTAGGGAGCCCTGGAGCTGCCCCAGTGAGCGATGCAGGTGGCGGAAGGAGCGACTGATTCACCGGCTTGAGTGGGGATTTGCCCCTCGCCTCCGAGCACCGTGCTGCTGGGGGCAGGCCGAGTCCCCCTCAGCTCTCTGCGTGTGATTGTTGTCGTGACACCTGCCGCACCAAACACGTTGTCCACAGCTAATAAAACAAGCCGGCCCTTTGCTTTGGAGCCGTGTGTGCCCAGCCCTGCAAGCGGGGAGGGATGGGTGGGCATCACTAGTGCTGCCTGGTCATGCTACTGCAAGAGCTTTGGGGGTGACCAGGCCTGGCCCTTTCCTGGGGCACTGCACCCCCTTTGTCATAGGCAGCTGCTTTGGGGGGCCTTTTTTTGCAGGTGCCCCGTCTGTGTCGAGGGCCGGATTTGGCAGCAGCTCCAAGCCCCCAAACTCCTCTGCAACCCCGGGAGCTGCTGGCATTCAGCCCGCTGGAAACCAGGCCCAGGCAGCTCCCAACCTCAGGACAGCCGACACCAATGGCCACTACTGCCCTCTGCAGCCTGCGTGACGTGGCTGAGGCGGGGAAGCCAGGCACCAGTCTGGGCCTGTCGCTCTGGGGCACTCCCACAGTGCAGTGGGGCTGCCCCATCCCTGGGACGGTTCAGGCTGAGCGGAGCAGGCTCGGGGCCTTTTCAGGGAGAATCCAACACCAGCTTTGGGCTGGTTAGAGCCTGGCCCGCAATGACTGGGCCCCCCAGCCTGCCCCAGGGGCAGTTCTGCCAGTGGCCAGGCACCTGCCCCTCTTGCCTTGCCACCAAGCTGGTGCGATGCAGTGCCCCTGCCCCCTGGCGGGTCGAGGCAGAGCAATGGGGCCCCAGACAATCTGGTTCCGCACGGTTTATTTAGGAACAGTGACCAGCCCCCATCTTCTGCAAAAGGGGCCCTGGGGCTTTCCCCCAGCTCCTGCACAACCACCACCAGCTCCGTCTAGCTGCAGCTGGGCTCCCCCACGTAGGCTCCGGGACGGGGGCAAGCAGGGCTGGCAGGTCCAGCAGAGGCCATGATCCCATCCCCCAAGCCAGGCAGGTGCAGCCCCAGAAGGGGTTGGCTGCTCGTGGGCCCTGCATCACAGACAGGTCCCCTGCCAGGGGCCGTCGCTGGCCAGGAGAGCAGAGCGCAGTGAGGGTGTGGGGACACAGGGCATCAGCAGTCAGGCCCTCCAGGATGGGGAAACACCCCCGCAGGTCAGGCCCAGACTCCTGCCCGAGGTCCTGGGATCTGGGCAGGGGCTGCAGGTGCCTGGGGGCTGCCAGGAGGGCAGGTCAGATCCTCCTGATCCCAAGGGCCTGGAGCTCACAGCTGGTTTGGGGGCTGGTAAGCCCCCCGGTGAGATAGTAGCTGCTCCCCCCCTTCCCCAGCGCACCCTGGGATGCCAGAGACACTAACCTGCCCTCACAGGGACATGAGAGGGGTATGACCCCAACAGTGCCACAGGGGGCAGCTGGGTTGACCCCTGCAGGCTTGTGCCCTTCGAGCAGGGTCTGACTCTTGGCCCGGCTGGCAGGCGCCCGAGACAGACACACGGGGTGAGGCGCAGCTCACCCTCCGACAGACAGCTCAGGCGTTATTTGTCGTTTAATAGGAATCCAGTGAAACAGCACAAGTCGGACGCGGTCTGGGGTCGGGTGCGTTAACAGGGCGCCATCTGAGGCTCCCTGCTGTTCTCTGGGGTGGCAGCCCCCCTGGGCAGAAGGGCAATGCAAGGCAGCGGGAGCTGTGGCATGTGCTGGCGCCTCGCCCCACGGCGGGACGTCACCCAGGCAGAGAGATGACATTTGCTGGGCTCCATTAGAGCAGGTGCCCTTGGAGCTCTCGGTTCTGCTCAGGGAGCCGGTGTGGGCTGGGGCGAAGGGCTGTTTGCAGTGGGCTGTTCTGCCCAGCCTGCCACTGCCTAGGCCGAGTCGTCTCTGTCCCACCACGTGACGGTGGTGGTGAAAAAGGAGCCGTGATGCTGGGCAGGCTCCACCCAGTGCAGTTGGTGGTGCGATTCACAGGGCCCGGCACTGGGCAAGTGCTTAGATCTGGACCTGGCAGAGCCGGCAAGAGCAGTGAGCGAAGATTGTCCTGTGAGCAGATGGCTCCAGAGCAGGGAACAGCCCCCGCCAGGCAGGGCAGGGCAGAGAATGGGTGGGCAGCTTTTAAGGGTCTGCCCAATGGTTGTTGGATGAATAGGGGCAGCCCGGACCCGAGGGTCCTGCTGCTAGTAAGGCACTTGTGTCTGTCTGCCCGTCTGACTGGGGAGGAATGATCTTTGGGGGGGGTCTGCTGGCTGCCCACAGGAACACGTAGCAGCCTCTGGCCATGGGATGCTCCTGCCACCAGCACCTGGAGCGAGCCATGGGGCTGCCCTTATGCATGGGCCCCAGCTGTGCATGCGGGATGTCGCTCCCGGGGCCTGGCCCTGCCCTCCTGCTCCGTGGGCACGACCCTCCAGGTGATAATCTAGGGAGACAGCCCAGCTAGTGGCTTGGGGCAGCCGTGGTGTGGGGGCTGGAGCGTGGCTGAGGCAATGGGGATGGCTACAGTGTAAACAGACAGATCCTGGCGGGAACCCCTGCCCCGGCCTGCTGGCTCCTGTAGTGCTGGCCCATGAAATGGAGTGGGAGGGGTGACCAGGCTGGGAGCCCCCTGCCTGCCCCCTCACTGCTCCCGGAGATAGGGGCCAGGCTCTCCTGTCGATTCCCCCTGAGCGGGCTGAGGCGTGCCACTGCAAGGCAGGCTGTGACTTTGATCCCACACTCCTAACTTTAGAGGATGAATGTGGATCCTGTCCCTCCCTAGAGGAGAAAAGATGCCCCGTCTGCCCCTCTCCCCGGACCCCCCGTCCCTTAGCGGGCATGGGGCACAGCAGAGCCAGCTGGCACCCTCCTTCCCGCCCAGCTCGGGGGCACATGCTCTGAGCACTGAAGCCGGAAGGCAGAGGGGTGAGCTCCCCATCCTGTGGGGCCCTTGTGGGGCAGGACGTGGCGAGGGCCGGCACTGGGTTGGGCTCCCGGCTCTCTATGGCCCCGGGCCCAGTGCGGTTGGGTCGACTCCACCGTCTCAGTTCCGAAGGGTCCGCGTTCCCATGGGGCTGGCAGGAGGCCTGGCTGCCCCCCTGCTGCCACGCACCAATCACACAAACAAACCCATCCCCCACTGGTTTGGGGTAGCAGCGAAGCACCATTTTCCTCTGGGTTTCTTTAAAAAAATGAATCATCGTAATAATAAAACAGCCGACGTCCCACGATTGGCCTGCGGACGCGGGGCAGGCGGCGGCCAGCCTATGAGGGGCACTCTTGCATGTTAACTCCCGCCTCCGAGTGATGCTGCAAGTCAATGGGCTGCCGCGGCGGCTGGCCTGGCCGCTCGCTGCTCAGCACCAGGTTTTTAATGCACCCTGTGATTCCTGAGCGGAACTTGCCGGCGGTCAGGGCTTGGATGGCAGGAGCGCCTCCTGGGGGCAAGAGGAGAAACAGTCAGCTCCCAAAGGCAGCCCCATGCTTCGGTGTCCCTAGCGCTCCAACGACCACAGCCGGGACTGGATCACTCCACATGGCCCACTGCTCTTCATTGCCTCTGAGGCACCGGGCACTGCCACCACGGCAGCTCGTACGTCCCGTTCACATGGAGAGGTAGGGAAACCGAGACACGGAGCGAGCTAAGGTCACACACAGGGCGTGATGGGCAGAGCTGGGGATGGACCCCTGCCCCTCCCCTGCTCCAATCACTAGAACCTTCCCTCCCTTCTTGGGTGGGGGGTTTATGGGAATTCCCCAAGTGACCATGATCCTCTCAGCTCATCCCAAAACCGGGAGTGTTGCTTCCTCCGTTCCCCAGCGCAGAATCGCACCAGGGTCCCAACCCGTGCAACACACCTGGGCTCTGCAGGACCCAGCAGAGCCCTGAGAGCCGGCCCCATCCCGCCACAGATAGTGCCAGGACCTGGGCCCCACAGCGCCCCGAGAGGCGGCCCCATCCCGCCACGGTTAGTGCCCGGCCCTGGGCCCCACAGCGCCCCGAGAGCCGGCCCCATCCCGCCACGGTTAGTGCCCGGCCCTGGGCCACACAGAGCCCCGAGAGCCGGCCCCATCCTCCCATGGTTAGTGCCCGGCCCTGGGCCACACAGAGCCCCGAGAGCCGGCCCCATCCCGTCACCGTTAGTGCCCGGCCCTGGGCCACACAGAGCCCCGAGAGCCGGCCCCATCCTCCCATGGTTAGTGCCGGCGTAGGCCAGGCCAGTAGAGCCTGGGAGCCGGCCCCATCCCACCACGGTTAGTGTCCAGCCCTGGCCCCAGCAGAGCCTGGGAGCTGGGCCCATTCTGCCATGGGAAGTGCCCGGCCTGGGCCAGGCCAGCCCCCATCGCTCCTAGTTCTGTCCCAGAAGCGGCGGTGCCAGACAGGGCTCCTGGGCATTAGGTCCCTGGAGAGGAGGGTCCAGCTAGCAGGCAGGGGGCAGGGGAGAGCCCCAGTCCCCACCACCACATACTCCCAGGTCTCCCAAGTCCCACACAGCCTGGGCGCCCGCGCCCCGCAGGTCCCCAGGGCGCCAGCCCAGCCTTACCTATGTACACGCTGCCTTGGGTGTTCACCATGACGTTGCTGCCTGGCGACTCCCCACTCACCAGCTCCTCGCCGTCCACCTGAATGGAGCCCCGCCTGCCTTCCCTGCAGGGCACAGAGCCAGGTTTGTCCAAGGCTGGCCCCCATCCCAGCCGGGAGCGAGGGGGCAGGACGATCGACCATGGGGGAGCTGCGCCCACTGACACCAGTGACAAGCCCTGCTCCCCCCCCGGGCTCCCCGGCTCCAGGCTGCAGCCCGGCTCAGCCCCTCTGCAGGGGGAGCATGGGGCTAAGGTCCTTGGCAGAATAGCTGGAGGGCTGCCTTGTAGTGGGATGGCTCCCTCCCCCTCCCTTCCCAGGGGGCCGTGCGGGGGCCGTCTGGCTGCAGGACGGTGATGAGCTAAGCCCCGGGGGCCCTCACCGAACGGCTGTCACTCTGTGCCACTCTCCATCGTTGATGGGGTCCTCAGAGACGATGCTGGCTTCGCCGCTGCCCAGCTGGTAACTGCGGAGAGAACGGCTGGTATTAGCACCCACTCCTGGGGGGCAGTGTCCACATTACCCAGTGCTTGGGAGAAGGAGGCAGTGTCCGCATTACCCAGCGCTCGGGGGAGGGGGCATCTGCATTATCCAGCGCTCTAGGCGGGCAGCGTCTGCATTACCCAGTGCTTGGGGGGAATGGGGTCTGGGAGAGACTGGGGAAGGATGGCTCTGGGACCCTAGGGGTGGGGCTCAGGGTGCATTTGGGTCTTAGAGGCGGGAGAGTGGATCTGAAGTGAAAGAAGTGGGGAGAGAAGGTGGGTCCGGGGTCCCAGGCAGGGGGAATGAGGATCCAGGGTGCAGGTGGGTCCAGGGTCCCAGGTGTAGGGGCAGGTGGGTCCGGGGTTCCAGGGGAAGGAGAGTCTGAGGTCCCGGGGTGATGGGGAAGGAGAGTCCACGGGGAGAGGGAAGGTGGGTCTGGGGTCCCGGGGAGAGGTGGATCCGGGGTCCCCGGGTCAGGGGGAAGGTGGTCCAGGGTCCTAGGGATGGTGGGAAGGTGGATCTGGGAGCAGAGGGAAGGTGGGTCCAGGGCAGGTGGATCTGGAGTCCCAAGGCAGGAGCTCTGGGGATTCTAGCTTGTGCCCTGGATGTGATCCCTGGCTGGCAGGAGGCAAGCGTCAGGGGCCACATGGCCGTTTGCTCCTCGGCTGGCGCCAGGCCATGCTCACCTGAACACCAGGTGTCCATCTCTCAGGCCGAGGCTGATGAAGTCCTTGGCTTTGCCGTTCTGCCCTTCCTCCTGCCAGAGAGAGACGTTATGAGACTGCTGGCTCCTGTCTGGCTGGGACCCTGCTCAGGAGCCAGCCCTGGAGCCATGGGCCCTGCCTGCCATCCAGGAATGGGTGCAGCTGAGCTGGGAGCCAGTTCCACAGCTGGGCCCAGGGCATGAGCCAGCCAGTGCCGTGGGGCCCATGAAGCCAACAAGCAGCGCTTGCTCCCCTGCAGGGCTTCTTGGCAACACCGGGCTGGATGCGCCGACTGAACCTGTACAATGGGGAACGCCTGCACAGGCACCCAGCTGCACTGCCTGCGGGCCTTGGGAAATGCCCACCCCTGCGCGGCTGGGGACAAGTGGGGGACACGGCTGTCGGGAGCCAAGTTGCAGGGAGTGTTCGCCAGTCGGGGCTCCACGTGTGTCCCCGGCTGTGGTGCGGCACAGCCCGGTGATCCCGGAGGCCGTAAGCCCCACTGCTGCTCCCCATGTGGTGCCAGGCCCAGCACCCAAGGGCCCTGCAGTAAATACCTCGCTAGTAGCATGTGGCTTGAGAGCAGGCTGCCCGGTCACCTGGAGGAGAAACGTGCAACAGGGCGGTGAAATGCCCACGGACAGCGAAGCAGCATGCGCCAGGGGGGTGATGGAGAGCCTGGCAGCCATGGCACGGCTCAGGGAGCGGTACCCTAGGGTGACGCCAGGCCCGCATGGCATGGAATGAATAGTTGAGCATGGCAGATTAGTATGGGCCTGGCTCTCTGGCCTGAGCCAGGTGGCACAGGCTGGTTTCATGCATGCGCAGGCAGGTCAGACAATGGGGGTGGGATGGGATGTGAGTCCAGAGTGGAGCTGGGTTCCAGCCCATGCCATAGCCGGGGAGGGAGCAGCCCAGCATGCTGGCTGGCGCGCCATGCTCGTGGATGGGTGCTCTGATCACACTCAGCAGCCAATCCCCCAACTGACAGCAGGGGGCACTGCCGGTCAGACCCGCCTGGCACCCAGATTCCTGTGTGCTGCACCTCCTTTCCTGGAAGGAAGGCCCCTCTCCCTCCTCTTCGGAGAGGGGCCTCCTCTGCGTACTCTGCCCTTCCTGGGGGCCCATTCACCTAGCCCTGCCCTCCATCCTGGCTCCCCCCAGCCCATAGGCCCCTGAGGGGCTCACTGTGCCCCTAAGTGCTGAGGGAGAAGCTGGTAACTCCAGTGCCCTCTCAGCCATCTGGGATGCCCTGGCCCTCTCCCCAGTGGGGTGTGCCCAGCTCTGTCCTGCCTCACGCACTGACCCCTCTTCCCCCCCTTGCTGGCTGCTCTCAACCCGCCACTGCAGAACTCCAGGCCAGCAAGTGCTGGAGATGGAGTCGCCTCGGCCAGGGACGTGGCTGCAGCCCGTCCCTGGTGCTGCCCTCAGCCCTGGAACCCAGCCCCGCGAGTCACGCCCGGGCCGCCCTCATCTCCGACCTGCCCCCGCCCTCATCTCCGACCTGCCCCCGCCCTTGTCATCCTCACCTGGCCCAGCCTCCATCCTGGCCCAGACAGCCCCTCCCCATCACCCACCCATCTCCCGTGCTGGCCTGGCTCCTTGGGTCTCTGGCTGGCTCCCACCTGCCCCAGCCCAGCTCCTCTCCCCCTTGTGCTCACCCCGAGCATCCCCCACATAGCGAGGGGCCCAGCCCCCAGCGCGACTCACCACGCCCTGCCACAGGAGGAGGCCGTTCGGGGAGCGCGTGCGCACTTCCAGCTCAATGGTCTCTGGAGACTTGGGGTGACTGCAAGGAGAAGGCAGCGGCTGTCAGCCCTGGGCCCCAGGGTATATGGTGGGGGGCAGGGACCAGACCAGGGAGCCCTGCCCCCACCAACCCCCAGTCCCCCCGCCCAGGGCCCAGCTCTGCCATTCCTCTGGCCCCTGGAGCTAGGCCATGCGGCCCCTGGTGGGACTCAGCCAGATGGCTGCTCACGGAGCGGCCTGCCCAGCTCCCACTCCAGGCTCCCTCCCCAGCTATGCAGAACACTGCGGGGCTGGCACTGGGAGACGGAGCCAGTGCTCGCCCCGATGGCGCATGCTGGGAGCTCCGGCCCTTCCTGAACACAGACGGCATGGGGCAATGGGGCGATGCCCCTCCTCCCCCTGCTCAGCATGGGGGCCCACTCACCTGCGGGGCAGCACGTGCCGGGGGAGCGCGAGGTAGCCGCCATCCTGGAAGTAGGCTCCGTACTGGCCTGGGGCGTCTGCAGGGCGAGAGCTGGGATCAGACAGCAGGGGGTGTTGGGAGCCACCCCGTCCCATACCTGGGCTTAACATTAACCTGGCTGCACCCAGGACCCTCTGTACGGAGCAGATCCCCTGGGGCAAGGGGGTGAGCACAGGGAAGCCAGTGCTGCTTCCTGACGCTTCCCCCCCTGCAGCTCATTAGAGCCCCCCACCCGGCGTGAGCTGCCTCACCCCATGCTTGGCCACCCCCGCAGGGAATCTCAGGGTCCGCCTGGGAGCTGCTGGGCCAGGATTGCTAGTACAAAGGGGGAAGGAGAGAGGCAGTGGGTACCGTACCGTTTCCCCCGCTGCCCTCCAGGGCCCACTCACGGTCCAGCGCCGCCAGGGCCGGGCCTGCAAGGGGACAGACACACGGGTTACAGGGAACGCACCGCACAGCGGAGTAGCACATGGCACAAGCGCTGCTCCATGCCCGGGAGGAGGCAGAGGGCGTAGCCCTGCCAGCTCGGGCCTTGGTGCTGGCTCCCTGCTGGTCCCTGCACTGCACAGACCTGGGGATATTAAGTGCTATGCTCCAAACCAGAGCAACTGCCCCCCAGCCCCGAACACACACTGCCCCCAGCCCCAGCCCTGAGCACACGCTGCCCCCCAGCTTCAGCCC